ATCAGGGCCCAATACTGAATTTTTGACTGTCATTTCTAAACTACTTGATTGCCAGTCAGATACCTACTCATGCAGAACTAGTCATTGACATATGATTGATTCATGGATAATAATCATTTTAATATATTCCCATCTATCCCATGGGCTTCGACCTTATGCAGTAGCCTATTATGAAGGATTAAATCAGCACTACTGATCCCTTTATGAGTAGTTGGTCTGGTCTGTGCCAAGTTACAATAGTTTCAAGAGAGACTGTCAGACAAATAATAAAGAAGAATTCATTTCTGATTAAGCCACTGATATTGTGACATTATCCATTTATTAATGGGTTACAAATTTGCCCATTGAACTGTTTTGTTTCCTCTGTTTTCAAACATTCTTTTTCTTAAACCTTTATAAATAGCAAATTTATTCGAGTGAACATGCTACTATTTGAATAGATTTGAAGACAATATTAAATATAAAGTTTTTTTGGTTCCCATCTAGTTTTCACAGTGCAATGAAAATTTACTAATGACAGTCACATCCACTAATAAATTTTCAACATATGAAAAATTGTACTCAGTGAGTGAGTAATTTGAAAAAGATGTTTGTTAATTAAAACAATATCACATCCTCTAAGAGTAAAAATCTTGTGTGTTGTGTGCCTGATTGAAGATCACATTTTGTATTTAATTTTTAGCTGGAAACAGAAGAAACAATGTGTTGCTTTTTAAGCTTTCAAAATATTTTTTTCTTTATATTTCATTCTTGGTATTATTGGCAAGGGTACTATTTATTGACCAAATCTTTAATTGCTCTTGAATGGATATTAGGGAACCACATATTGAATCGCTGCAGTCAATGTGATCTAGCTATACTAATAATATTGTTAGGGATAGGTGTTTAGGATTTTGATCCAGCTGTGGTGCAGAAATGATGATACAGCTCCCAAATCAGTGCAATGTGTAACTTGAAGGGCAGGTAACGTGGAATGCAAGTCATAGTGTTTCCATTCATCCTGTTTGTCTAGGTGATAGAGATACAGATTTGAAGGTGCTGTTGAAGGAACCTTGGCAAGTACATTTTGTATATGTTACACACTGCTGCCACTGACCATAAATTATGAATGTTTAAGGTGGCAAATGGATTCTGTTCAAGTGAGCTGTTTTGATTTGATTAGTGTTAAGTTTCTCGAATCTTGTAGGAACTTCACTCAAACAGGCAAGTGTGGACTTCCCATAATATTTCTGACTTGTGTCTTACAAAAGGTGAACAGTCTTTGGAATTCAGAAAATGAATTAATTACCATAGATTTTCTAGCCTCTGACCCGTTCTTGTACCCATAGTATTTATACAGTCCAATTTTGGACAAAAGTAACTCCCAGGATGTTGTTTGCAGGAAATTCAGTGATGGTAATGACATTGAGTGTCAAAGTGAGATGATTAGATTATCTCTTGTTGTAGATTGTCATAACCAGAAATTTATGTGGTACAGCTGTTACTTGCTACTTATCTGCCCAAGCCTGAATGTTGTCTAAATCTTGCTGCATGTTGGCACTGACAGCTTCAGTATCTGATGAGTTGTGAAAGATTTTGAACAATGTGCAACTGTCAGTAAACATGCCCACTTCTGACCTTATGTTGAAGGTCATTGATGAAGCAGCTGAATATGCTTGGGCCCAGGACACTAGCTGGAGGAGCTCTTGTAGTGATGTCTTAAAGCTTTGATGATTAGTTTCCAACAAATGCAACCATCTTCTTTTGTATGAGGTATGTGGTACAGTCTTGCAATTAAAATAATTTTATTGGTATATTATTGGTAAAAATATTCATTAAGTCTACATCAATTCAAAATTTATATTGCACTGTTTATCAACATTTTAAAATACCATTTTGATCCTATCATGAATTGTAAACACACCAGATAGCTGTAAATATGATCTGACATTAACATTTCTTATGGTTTAATACTGTGCCACTTTTAATAAACTTCTTCAATCTTTTGACCAATAAATAGATTTCTTTCAGCAAACATTTCTGTATTAGAAAGTATTCCTTTTTCAGATATTTAGTTTGCTTTTGATTACGTATAAAATATATGTCGCACGCCATTAATAAGTGTAGTCAATACACCACAAATGCCAAAAGAATCAAATTGTTTGAAAAAGGTTTGTTGTGGTTGAAGATGCTTTCCAAATAGTCATTAAACATTTAAGCGAATAAATCTGCAGAATATGTTCCTGACATTGGCACTTGTTCTGTGGTATTTCTCTGATCAGATGGAAGGACTGTGTGTTATGCATAGTGCATTCATGCATAAACAATATCATTTTCATAAATTAAAACCTCCCCTGCAGAAGCAACATCTGTGCCTGCCTGGGTTTGAATAAAAGATGGTGGCATGTGAGTTGCCCCTCAACTGACTGAAAGAATCCTTATGCTTTGAAATCTAGGTATAACCAAGGGTCATTTATCCACTTATGTGCCAGGGTTTCTTTAATCAGCCTTTTATATTATGATAGAGGGTTGTATTGTTCTTAGTAAAAACACTGAAACAGTACAAATATATTAAATTCTGTTTGATCCCTACAATTTCTATGTTTACTTATAGTGCTTTGTGTAATGAATAAATTAGTTAGAATTATTTCTGCTCTAGCTACTTTTAAAATCTGTTTTGACTAATTATCTTTAACATACTTGCATTTAGATAGCTTTAGAAAGTATGCTAATTCTAATATTGGCTAACTCCTGTCTTTGTTCTCTTATGCCTAGGTGTTTGTGAGTCTACCAATAGACACAAGGGAATAAAAATGGAACAGGTCCAACTGCATCTGAATGAATTTGCGTTACCGCAGCGCATGTTCTCAACTAGCAGTGAACTATTTGTCTATGATGTGATAGAGCTTGTCTCAATTTGTAAACGGGAATGCTGATTTTATTCTTAGAATCTTGCATTCTCTAGTAATACCACCTCTAAAGGTGAAAGTGTTAATACTACTTTAGCTCTATATGTAGAATGTTCTTATCTCCTAGCTTACCCAAGCAATTAACAAGCTGTGTCTATTAGGTATGGAAAGCTTGCTCAAAGAAACATTTAGAACAAAAAAATTAATGGTGAACTCTGTTTAATGAATATATTGCAATATTTCTAGGATCATATCCTTAAATATATCATAATAGACACAGATGCTTATAATGAGAACAGAAAGACCGCTGAGGGGCAAGAAAGTGAGAATGATGCCAAGTACATATTCTCTAGACACCTAATTCAGAGCCAGGACATATATGGCAAAGACAAATGGTGAAATATTTTGGACTGGACAAGAGCGTTGTCCCTCACTAGATTATGCCTTCTAGGAAAATCAGGTTGCCTCTATATGTAGGATCGCAAACAGGATTGAATGATTCTGGTCTTAAAAGATATCTGGACATTTTAAAGTTTGGATAGAAAAATATCCTGAGTAACAAAATCAGGTATAGCCACACATTCATTCAGGTAGTGTTGTTAAAGCATTCTTTCAGTTGATCAATTCAACCAGATGTCGTACATTACAAATTAAATCCAGTTCGTAGTTTTTTTAAAAAAAGATTATTGAATAATCTTCATATTCCTATTTCATTTTAAGCAAACCATAAACATTATGGGTGCCAACCACAAAATAACCCTATTTAAAAAAAAAATTAGATCCATACTTACAAATTTCAATGCCTCTAACTTGTAAAAATGACAGGGGGGTACTCTGAACATTATCAACCAACTGTTCCCCTTACCATTGCATTAGAGATAATGACACACAAAACAAAAATCTCACAGATCAGAAAATTAAGATTCCTATATTTTCATTTGTTGCTATTTGTGGGAACATGTACAACCAGTGGGCTCAGAAATTTATAAGGTAAGTAATCTGTTAGTAATTCCTGGACTATCCATTTTAATGTTTTAAACAGCATAGGATAAAATACTTCTTTAGTTAGGATTTGTTATTTTAATTGATTGGTATCTAAATCTGTCTACACTTTGATCTGATTCTTGGAGAGGAAACATTCTCAAGATGCTGACACTGACATAATTTTCCAAAACAACATTTTTAACATATTTATTTTATGTTTATATGTAGTGTGAAATAATTAACCATGATCATTTACTAATTTAGAAATGCTAATATTTTCATTTTTAAAAAGACTGTATTCTCTAATCTAAGCTGTTTACCTTTAAGAAAAATGTAAAATAAATATGTAAGTTGGTCCACATATTCTCCGTAATATTTAAATTAGGAGAACTACAGTTCAAAATGCAGCAAAAGTTTCAATATTGTAGTTATTAGCTTTCCACCATGAAACTTAAGCACCTTCTGTGTAGTTTGAAAGTTTTGCTGATAAAAAAGATGTTTTGTCATTCCTTTCAATCAAATGATTAAGGCAAAATTAGAGAAGCTACTTCAAAATTACCCTGATAAATTCATATTCTGTGCATGTATATTAGTGTAAATTGGCTCATACTGTTACTTTCACTCCTAAGTATTATTTTATGGTAGCAGGAAACTACATTGGTGCAAATTTATCTATGTTCTTCAAGGCTTTTCTAGTAACTAGCTTAAAACATATGTAATTTTTTTTACATTGAGGAACTGACCATAATGGTAGTGGGAAGAATGCCATGAATGAAGGGAAATGTCATCAATGCCAAGTGACTCACGAAATACATGTCATGTCAGTATTTTATTTTAGTGTGGATGGAAAAAGATTTCTTTGGATAAACAGGAGATAACTACTAATTATGCTTCCCACAGAAAGGAGATAGTTGGCACACCGACTGGAATACTGTGGGCATTATAACATGTATGACAGAATATTCTTCAGCAAAGGGGTAATTGATCATTTTAGATCAAAAAGTCTAAGAAGTTAAAGTCATGGTGGTTACTGTAGGATTTGGTCTATGGAATGAAAATAAATCAGACCAATGGAAGTAAATGTTTGTTGTAATCAGCTTTTATTCTACAAATAATAAATTTTGCACCTTTCATGAGCTATCAAAATAAAACAATAATCCCATAGGAATTACATACACTAAGAAAAATCACATTTAATGAAAATGCAACATTTGACAAAGATGAGATTACTATTTCAATAAAAGACTGCATGATTGTGATCTCAATTCCCAATGCATTGTGGCATTACATCATAAAATACAGGATTACAAACAAAATTACAGTACCAATTTATTTCAGTTGAACCAGCATTACACTTTAAACAGCACTTCATCTGGACTGCATTGTACATGCAATATCTATTGTTCTAGTTACGGAATAAATGTGAGATTTTTAGCTACTGCACTAATTAACTAATATATAGCCCAACATTAATAAGCCTGATTATAGCTGTAGCTTTTAACTCTCAGATATGATAAGACGCCGTGTGTGCGCGCGCGTGTGTATACCTACGTGTAATATGGGAAGTCAGTTAGTTGATAAACGGAATAAACAATTCCTCCGCTGGTCTTAGAGTCGAGTTAACTTCGCTGTTCTAATAATGTTTGATGGAAATAGTTTAAAGGAAATAGATACAGTGCAAATGATTTGTGATAGTCAAGCAACCGTTTAAGAAACTGAAAATTGGTATTTGATAACATTATATACACATTTTGTGCAACTATTTATCCTTTTGATATGATCTACCAAAGATAGGTCTTTTTTAAAATTTTATTTTCGATTTGCATCCTGTTAGTCTGGTAGGTAAGGTTTCACAACCAGGAAAAGACTAAAGCGGGAAAATAATTTGTCAGGATTGTGCAACTTTGCGTGATTTTATAGGTAGGAAGTCCTAAGGCAACAGAATATTATTCTAAGCACTTTTCCGCTGGTTAAAAATTAAATTACTTTTGTATAAATTATAGATAATCCTACTCTTGATATAAAAAACAGTGATGGAGCTGCATGGTTAAAATAGGAAATCGACCTTATAAAAATTCATTAAAAATTCTGTACAAAATCACAACAAAATAATTCAGCATGGGAAAGGTAACAGTAGTAAAATGTTGGTTGAAAAATATATTTTTAAATTGGCCCATTATTAGTTTAAAAATTGCATAGATTCCTAATTATTGCTTGTGATTTTGTCATGTGGATCAGTAATTACCATTATCTGAACAGGTGCTACATTGACTTTCATGTAGCCCACAGAGAGAAGCGCTAGTAGAATATTGTACATATGATAACGGGAAGTGTTTTCATTCCCATTTCTCTTAAAGGCAGTAACAATAATAAGTACAAGTACTAATTTAAGCGCGAAACATTTGCACTCCGCAGCAAGTGATACCGGTGTGCTGCCGTGTGTAAACAAGCTATTCACGAAGTACATTTAATTCGATTCGTTTACAATACATTGTTGCTGATTTCCATGTTAATCATGGAAGATGGCATTAAGCTGGGCACTCATAACTCGCTCATGATGCGAGTGGGCGTCGAATGGCATAATGTTGTCTATGGGGATTTCACACCGAGGAGTAGCGGAAGAAAACATGGAGCTGTGTCCTTGGGGTCCGGCCAGCGTGGCTGCAGGGTAGTGCATGGTGAACGTGTAGTTCTTTTCAAACTCTTGAGAAGGCTCTTGCTTGAGAGAGAAGTTCCCATTGATGCTTAAAGGTGGGCTTAATGGTCCGTCAAAGGACGGACTAGTGCATTCAGTGAGAGTGCTTTCAAAAAAAGGTTCCAGGGCTCCAGCGTAACTGTGCGGTTTAATATGAAATATGTGGGAACTGTCCATTGTACCGTAGGGCGGACTCGGAAGACCAGGGGACTGGTAGGTGTATGGATGAACGGAGAAGGAAGCACTGGCCGTTTGCATATGTGGCATGTCCTGGTTCTGCTCTGGAAGGAAAGTTCGCGGGTTTAACTGAAGGCAGCCAGCTACGAGATTAGTGGTGGGCTGGGATAAACCTTTACAGAGCGTCTGCACAAACGACACGAGATCTGGGCTTTTTCCAGAACGCAGAATCTCCGATAAAGCCCAGATATAGTTCTTAGCTAGTCTCAGAGTCTCAATCTTGGATAGTTTTTGGGTTTTCGAATAACAGGGCACGACTTTCCGCAGGCTATCCAGTGCTGCATTCAGACCATGCATGCGGTTCCTCTCTCTGGCGTTAGCTTTCATTCTCCTCATTTTAAACCTCTCCAGTCTGGCTTTTGTCATTTTCTTTTTCTTGGGGCCCCGCCGTTTCGGTTTTTGATCTTCATTCTCGTCCACTTCATCCTCCTCCTCATCATCATCATCTTCATCCTCCTCCTCCTCATCATCATCCTCCTCTCCCAGTTTATCAAGTTCTCCCGTTTCCACCTTGAATGTGAGACTCATGGATTCGTTTTCATCGTCTTTTTTGTCGGCTTCATGCTCATCTTGGGAACTGAGACAGTCATCCGTCCAACTGGGATTGCTCTGCGTTTCTGGCATCATGTTTTCTGTGTACGATTTTGTCATCGTCGAGATCCTAAACAATTAAAACACGCAAAAAAGTACATGATTCAGCAAAATTCAAACCCGAACCTACCAAGCGGTAGGATTTGAAGCAGGCTGTAAATTTAGCGTTACCACTTAAAACTCAACTAAGTTATAAAGTTTATTATTTTACCTTAGCGGCATTTGTCGCATGGATTATAATTCTAAAGCTAAACTGGGCCGTGTAATCATGGAAGATCCGCTGCATAACTGGCAAGATGTACATGAATTTGGAACAGCAACAAAAACAGTACAAAACCCTGGATTTCGTGTACAGTTTTATTGAGGGGAACGGAAACTTCAAATGCAGTTAATATATTGAACAGACCGGGTAAAAGGCTCCAACATCTGTCCGTCTTGATAAATGACACGTCGCACAGAATGTCAATACGAAAGACCTCATTCAAAAAAAAAACGCGAATCCATACGACCAGAAATGGCTTGGAAGGACTCTACTGCTTCTCCGATTCGTTTTCTGTCGTACTAGAATGAATTAATCCATTTGAGAAGTGTTCACCCTAATGTTTCTGTAATAAAGAAACTTGGGGATAAATTATATGTACGTTTGGCCACTGAAAACTATTACAGAAACAGAAGTAGCGCGCACTTTCTGAACAGGGTGCAGAGTATTGATTTTCCCTGCTTCATGCTCAGCGATGTGAAATGAAATGCAATCCTATCTACTGTTCCTGATTTAACAGACGAGAATAAGCAGATTATGCACAATAAAATGTGATTGACTGGTTTAATCGGTTCATATCTTAGGGCAACTGTTCTTGTCAAAGTAAAAGGTCCCAACTACTTTGTAAAATGATTTCAATCACAGCAAAATTAAATTGGGTCCAGTTCCTAGAGAAAAAAAAAGCGTGGCAGAGACCGTACACTATTCGTAAAAATAATTTGCAACTCAAAAAAAGATTTACTATTGCAACCCTAAGTGTGTACGCAAGCGCAGTAATCCACAGGGATCAGGTGCTGAACTGTGTCTTTATTAAATATCCCCAATCCGCTGGTTTTACTGGAGCAACTTCGATGCCCAACTAAGTCCTGGTTCAAAATGTTACAGCTGGGGTATTGAGTGGAGAAGTGAAAAATAGGGACTCCTCGACTTCTATTCGTGCACTCGCAATGCAACACTGTACAAAGCTTGCTGCTAGGCTGCCCTGCCGTCTCCTGATACTGTAACAGGTAGCATATGTTTCTAGATTTCATGCCACTCTTCCTCACCTTCCACCCAAATTAATAATTAATACAGCAGCATATTTTGCGCGAATTGTTGCAGCATTCCAATCTAGCCCCAGAATGCCCAGATACCGAGAGCAAAATGCCCCGCTCGGTGACATAATTGATTCGTATATGGCAAACGGAATCCAGCTAATTGAAAACAAAATGAAATGGGATAAGTTAAACACCTCTCCTCGCTGTAACGAAAGAAAAGTGTATGACAACGAAATGATTGCTGTTCCAGAAGAAGAAAGCACCAAACACACACAGACAGATGAAGGATGCTACATTACACAAAATACCTTTGTAAATATTGAGTCTAGAGTAGTCTCATAGCCTGAGCTATGGTACAGTGGCAGCTCCGAGGTTCTTTGCGGACTGCCCGCTGGCAGCAGCCCCGCTGCCTTTTATACTGGGGGAAAGGTGCTGGGTTCCTGGAGCACGGGCCCGCCCGCCGCGGGGGCGGCGCGCCTGCGCAGAGCACGGCGGCCGCCGCCGCCGCCACCGCCTCCGCCCTCGCGCCATATGGTTCTCAGGACGTCACAAGAACGAGCGGCGTCACGTGGGCCGCTATTTGTATTCCGCCGGCGCGTGCGCCCCCTCCCCCTCTTCCATCGCACCCTCCCCACACCCCCTCCCTCCCCTCCCCTCCCCTCCCCTTTGTGGCCATCTGTCGCCAGCAGAATCTGTGCGGAGCCGCTCGCGCCCACTCCCGGGGATCCACCCAAACAACACAGCCAGGGCAGGCAGGGAGGGAGGCCACCGTCTCCAAAATACATTGTCCTGCAATCGCCTTCTCCATTACTCGCCGCGTCTCTGCCTCTCCTCGCCACCACACCCCACGCACCCATCCACCAACCAACACCGCGCCCCCCCCCCCGACCCCTGCAAAATCAATGCAGCTGACGCATCTAAAGATCAATCAACTTGCCATTAGTTGAGCATGAAAAGGTGAACCCGGTGTCAACGGTCCTTGCTCGTCCCTGTGTCCGCATTAACCCAGAGGCTCAGAAATCTTTTGCCACACAGGTCCCTTGACCATGACAGAAAGTATAGATTTAATTAACCACCACCACGCGAACACACGCACAGTGTCAAAAGTTTTATTTTAATTTTTATTTCCGATGGAGAATTGCATTAGTTGGCCTTGCAAAAGATTAAGGGCCGGGGGTAGGGGGTTAATTATGTGTGGGAGGGTAGTGGAGGGGAGTGTGGAGATACTATTGGAATAAAGTTTCTGGCTTTCGCCCTAATTGAGGCGCTTCTTTTTTGCCGGCACGCGAGTCGCACGCACGCAAACAAAAGCCTTTTCACGGCTGGGCAAACAGATCTAACGTCCAAATATGCTCACTTCTGTCGAGGTTTTAAATAATAATGCAAAGGTCGCCAAACTGACCGTTAGAGGGAAATAATGTGAAAAGACACACTAAGCGATTGGAACAACATACAATTGATTTTCTACCCATTATTATTCTAAGCACCAACTGTACGATGCAACCGTCATTCAAAAAAAAAATGCGGTTTGGTTTTTGTTTCCAATTGGAAATACATTATTTCGAAGGACCGGGCTAAGTATGTTATTTGGGCTCAGAATCCGAAACTTGTTTGGGTTTATGCTTTTGAATATTTGGTCCTGATTAAGCGATCAAACAATATAAGTGCTTCAATGTGTTTGTGCAATGTGCTGTTCGCTCTTTTCAAAGTGAATATTTTTGCAAAAGTGGATTTCGTGCATGTTCTGGCTATTGTCTCGCAGTTTTGTGTCGGTTTGCCATCGGACGGGAGTTCGTAGTGTGCCAACAATTGTGTTTGCATTTTTTTAGCAATGAAACGCAGCTCCTGGCCCCAAACAGGTCTTCCTTCTAATATTTGCTTGTATGCTAGTAAAAATAAGAGGAAATACATGGAGATTTCATAGCAACTTTTCAGTTACTACGGGTCAGCGCCTGTTTTACTTGGAATAGACGCAAATAATATTAAAGATCCATTTCAGTTGTCCACGGTGCAAAATCCGTCCGATTTAAATCTCTTGGGTATGCGGCATTATCTTAATTAAGATAATTGATTCATATTGCACCTGCGAGAACGAAAAAATAGAATTTATCAAAAATGCTGTAAGCTATCGTGTGCGAGAAAAATTGGCCCCAATTAAGAGCATTATCCCAGCAATTTAAGCCATTACTTTACTGCGTTTATGTTCTTTAGAGGTTGTGGCGTTGGTTTGAAAATGTGAGGAAATTGTATTTTCATATCAAATGCTATATCTTAATTTTCCTTGGGTAATTTAATTCCCGAATTCTCTGGGCAGCCTCTTCGAGCCAGTGCACTCTCAAAACAGATATTCGACGCTAGCTGATATTTCTAGTATTAGTATTAGCCGGCCATCAAAGTAAACGAAATCTGTAGTGTACGTATTTTTATTCGGACTGAAGAAAACTCGTTTGAAGCTTTCAGTTGGACTCATTTGCTTGACTAAACGTCAGCACGGGTGTTTTGTTTACTCATTAGCTATTTCTGTTGAAGGTTTCTTTACGACTTACACTCTGCAAAGACTGCAACTTCAAGATTTAATAACACTAAACTTCTAGATTTAAAATATAACTATAACTTCCAAACGAAAAACAGCAAGTTCCTGCGTTGCTGGGCTTTTGCACAACCTGGTAACCGCTGAGTGTTTTTGCCGGATAAAAAGCATCGTAAGCACTATCCATCTCTATTTCACACAGACATCAGGAAGGATCTTCTGCACCTACAACAGAGTTGAGGAAATATTTCATAGTATCATGACATTTGTCAGTATTTGAAGTGACAATGGCCTTGTGATGAACTGGACACATACGTAAATAAGTAGGCATAGACACACACACACACAAACATATTGACACGGATACAGAGACACAGGCACACACACTGGTACGCATAGATACTTACAGACACAGGAGCACACACACGAGAACATACACACAGACTCAAATCCATAGGTACACCGACGTAAGAACACAGAGATATTCTGTCACTCCGTCACACACCTATACAGTGAAATGTATAGACACTTAGAGACGTACACTAGCATACACACAAGCACGTACACACAGACTCAAACCCATAGGTAAGCACAGACAAACACAAACATGCTTATTCATTCACAGCCACACAAACAGTGGTACGCATAGACACTAATAGACACACACTGGCACATAACTCGCCTAGCTTCAAACCCATAGGGACATGGACACAAATACACACAGATATACTGTCACAAAGACATCCACTGACACACAGAGGTACAGAGAAACACAGAGGCTCACACACACATGCAGAGTCGATATGCAGACACAGCAGCACAGGCACACATACATACACACACTTTCCACACAGATGGGATCAAACTACAGCACCATAAACAGCTCCTGGTGTCCAGAGACAGGAGGCGGCGAGCACGTGACAAATTCCCTGTAACTTTAGAAGTTGGCGATATTTAACCCAACACCTGGCAGCAGGTTTGCCGTCCGATTGTGATTTAATACGGACCTGTTTCGTGCTGCTGCAATTTAGTTTCAATTGGGAATTCAATCAATGGTCGGAGGCAGAGATGCAATAACAAAATGGATACTCTAAAAAGTACCCGATGACACATCTGGTGCCCCGACATTTAGGATTAGTCTTTTGAGTACGAGCAGAGGGATTTAGACAGTAATGTTAAGCTCAGAAAGCTGCAAAATATAGATACATAGACATTGTATATGCATTTCGGTCGTGTTAGTACTCGCTTCTTCTTGCTTAAATAATGTGCTACTGCGGCTTAAATGTTGACATATTTCAACCTGCTTATCGAGTTTTAACATGTGAAAAAATTAAAATTTTAGTGATCGCGTCCAACGTCTTTCCGGTTGAATAGGTGTTTGCAAGGAACGAGTGAGACTAAGCCATTTTACTTCACCCCATCTCTGCTAATTGCTTACGCAAAAATGCAGATTTGTATTAATTAATTACTCTAGTGATTACTTCTTTGGTATTTTTGTGCAATAAATCATGCTGGAATAGAGAAGCGGACATGAGATTTTTTGGCACATCTTTCAATGAACATCTAACTGAGGCGGCACTGAGCGGCACCAAGGTTTCTGTGAAAGCTCTCCTAAGACCATTTTTCACTGCAGGTGTAGACACCTGCCGCAGACACCTGTCACTGTGCAACTTTCTTCATTTGCAGCACAGAATAAAACAAAAAAATCCGCATTTCTGACTGCGACTTTTGTGAAAAATAAACAACTCCCTGCAGCCCAAAATGACAGGAACCAACAAAAATAAAACTACAAGCGGTTTAAGCCAGACCTACACGGACTAACGCACTTAAATCAATGCCTCGTTATTCTCTCTTGCTCAAAGCGATTGCTGTGTTTTCGAGCTGCCATTTTATAACAATTTCAGAAGGTCATAATCATAAAGGTGAGTTCACGGCCTGTTAAACGCCTCAACTTCGCGGAAAGGGGACATCTACTAACTATACAAAGTTGACAGTTATATCTAATTATGTTATTTTGTAATTAGGAACACTGTAATCTTCGCTGTATTACTCTCAAAGCATTTTTTAGATGATTACATCACAAATGTCACTATCATGGTCTATTTCCAAAATATGTGGACTTAACGTGAAGTTTATACGGATTGTAATTTTTTTGTCTTTTAGATCTTCATGAAACAAGATACTTCCTGGAAGAAAATGAATAATAAAAATCCCATTTTATATATACATTCTATGTTAAGTCCGCAAATGCACTGCAGCTTCCTGCCTTCACATTAAATTGTAATCTGATAGAGCCCACATAACATCGCTTGGCGACTGCTTGCCTTGAACTTAAGGATATTTACTTGAGTTGATTCAGTCGCTTTCCAAATAGCGAAAAGCTAAATGTTTCGTACGCGAAGGATGATCTTTTAAATGCTCACAGCACAGGAAATAAGGAGGTGGAATTTTATAATGTGGTCAGGGATTCGCTGAAGTAAACATCGTTTAGGTTTTGACAGGGCAATGGGTGTTAGACTGGGTTGCAAAGTGATTCACTATGGACCTATTTTAGCTTAATTTACACTCATTAAGAACAGAGTTTCATCCCCTTTCTGTCCATGTTGGCACCGAGATATCCCAATTCTCAGTGTTTAAAACTCTTTTCTAACCGGGACTGTTAACGTTTCACCTGGAAGGACCCATAGGAAAAGGGTGACTGCAACTCGTAATGTAGACGGCCAACATTCAACCATTGTCAGAGCTGTTTTTGCAAGCGTTACGTTTAAATTCAAAATACGCGACGCAGTATTATCTTCTTGACAGTTTTTTTTCCGTGAAGTGATTTGTCGTTGAAAGCTGCTTTCGAGACAAA